TTTCTAGACTAGAATTTATTTCTGTTCTTTTAGTCACTGCTGGTTAGATATACGACCAGCGCTCGTCAGGAGGATATATCTGTCCTCAATAACGTCGGAATCTGCGTTACCCAATGTTGTTGCCAGAGGCGTTACCGGTGAAACAGTCAGGCTCTCAGTTGCCCTGCTGTAGTACTGTGATGAATACACTGGCTGGTCACTGAGGTATAAACAGAATCACATGTCTAGTCCTAAGTGTTGGTGTTGAGGAAATTCACTACCAGTCAAGTTTTTAATATGGGGTCAGCAAACTAGGTGACCCACCATCGCAGAATATTTTGAATTGATGGTAAATGGTTAAAGGCAATCGGTAGAAAGACATGGACCTAGGTTTTGTACTCATTGGTACTCATCAGCAAGGAGTATCACACTAGTTACTAGTGTCAAATCAAAGTATCCAAAACAGTCCTACAGGAGGTCAGTCGCGAGCGCGAACAGCTCATTGGTCACATCTCTGACTGCAGCACTGGATGGTGCGGGTTCGAGTGTCAGAAGAGACATTAGTTCCTTCAGGATTGCAACTACGCCTTGCTGACTGGTGAGTGCCAACTAGCACGAAACCTAGGTCCAAGGCTTCCTACCTATTACCACCGACCATCTAATGCATTCCACTTCAACAATTGAGCTGCAGACTAAAATTCATCCAGCAATTCCCTTCCCATACTTCAGGTAATGTTTACACAGTGAATGTCATACACGCAATGTTAAGCTAATAAGCACATAACACAAAGGTAGAATGATCGACTGACAGAAGTTAGTCAGCACCGCCAACACACTAAGGACTAGACAAATTCCCAATGAGTCCGAACAGTAAAACTGTTTCACTTTCACAGGAGGTCAATCCTAAGACAGAATGGTTTGGTGGTGACGTCTTTGATTATTCGAGTGAGTGACAATGGAGCTTAAATTCTGACGACTGCCGATAAGACTGACCAACCAAATATGAAGGCTTCCTGCCTGGTATCTACAGTCGTTTAACAATTATTCCCTCCCAGCAGCCCAACAGAATACGAACTCACCTTGTAATCTTAAGGTTCTGGATTCGATCTCTGACGAAGTCGTGGTCTTCAGTGGTTCTCCAAATGATGTGTCACTTCATGATCAAACTTGAAATTGTTCGAAAAACAGAACTGCAGTTTGTAGTTAACATAGTCCAAGGTGAGAAGTCACTACAGTTTCTTTTCGAAACCAAAAGTATCCACATTACTCTAAATGCGATCTCTATCACGCTATAAATGGCAACCAAGACAGGGGTCATCAATGTATGATGGTGAATACTGCTGGTTGACTGACATGCTTAGCTGGATACTATATACATCAACCAACTGTTCCTGATTTCTAATCCAACAATCGTTTTTCACATTTGGGACCGAACCCATCAGTGATTTTTTTATTCCTTCACGTTCCTTAGTGGAACATAGGGCTTCAAGCTAATGGCTTGAAGTTTCTGTAGCAGTGTTTATTTTACAGGATGGGGTTGCTAGCCTCATGCCAAATCTTTCCTCTTCACCAGCATTATTTCTGGAGTAGCGAGGTAAAGGAGTGCATCGGCCGGGGATCGAACCCCGGACCATATGCATGGTCAGTGGTTTGAACCCGATTTAAATTCAATTCAAACAGTCAAATTAGTTGAAACCACTAGAATTCTTATCGGCTAGCTACTCGGGTGAACTGGTAATACACGGAGTTTAAAAAATGGAGTAAAGTAGACCTGTTTTGCCTTTTTTTTCCCTAAATTTTTCAGTTCTGTGGGACAACTCAGCTTTATACTCATAATCTACGCGTCACCAATGGTCTACACAATGGAGGAAATACCCCGTTTGTATGAGGCAGTTACTTCTCATGCTCTTAACAAACATCAACTACCTGAAACCAATTATTCAACTTGGTCTCTAAATTTCAAATAACATAGTCTTTATTAAGAGCCTGAAGGCAATGAGCTTAATAGTTTGCAGCATCATAGGTGTGTACTGACTGTGTGATAAGTATCAAAGGTAGGATGAGACAGTTGTTCAGTGGATGCATTGGATTCTGGCGGGTTCACTTGAACTGTGTGATGCCAGTACGTGATCATTCAGTTATTGGGTAAATCAGAATCCACCAGCCTATGGTTTCTAACTTCTCTCAATTCACGATACATGTACAAAGTGTCTTTGGGAGATTATATATATATATATATATATATATAATTATATATATAATTATTCTTTACATATGATGACACAGAATATAGGTAAGGTGTGTAGGATTCGAGTTCGATTCCCGGTCAGTGAACTCCTAAACCTTGTATAGCTTGACAGAAGCTGAAAGTAAGCCTAGAAAAAGAGGGAAGGTTGGGTGTGAGGATAGCAGTTCGACCCCGTAAGAGAACAAAATAACACCATTACTAGTAAAAGTTCAAAATCTTGAAGCAGTAAAGCAAGAAATGGGAAATAGATTATTATTATTATTAAAATGGTAATTATGTATTCAGACTGAGTAATAAAGTGTACACAGAAAGGATAAGTGAATTGAACTATTCTTAAAGAAGAATGAAATATGCATAAAGGGGAATAAGATAATCTCGACAAATCCAATTTCTGGCTGGAGGATTTCATCGTGAGTTGATATCCGTTAGAGAACCACTAGGAAACCTGGGAGTACTGGACAGCTGTATCGTCCTATTTTGGGACCGGGAACCGAGCCTGGAGTGCATGAGTGGTTGGCGAGTATTCCACAACTGAACGACTAACATAACAAACAATTCTAACATATATATATAGTACAAAACAAGGTTTTAACATACTTTGTTGCGTTGACAAGTAACATAAGTTCCCATTTATAAACACATCATAAAAAATCTTCTACTAAATGGCTCACAAGCGTTAAGCATTGTGATTGTCTGTCATCCCTGGGACATGTACACTGTGGAGAAATTGAAAGCGTTTAAAATAATCAACAAGTAAACACAAACTTAGTCTGCTGAGTTTTGTTGAAGCAGTCACCAACAAATGATTAAAATCAAATCTATATACGAAGAAAGAGACAGTGGTGTAGCTTGCACTGATATCCTGGGGATTATACTCAAAAAATAACCATCATTACTTCATGTATCCTTCTATACCGCCTGTTCTGTTTAGAAAACTTTTATTTGTCATCTGAATGTCACTCACCTTACTCCCTATTTTATAAAATAAAATTCTCTCGAGTTACGTGACCTAATTTACGGATAGACACTGTTTATTTACAAAATTTTCAACTCTGCACTCAAGTAATATATGTGTAAAACTTGGGCACTGTAACAGTATGTAATTCCATATTAATTCTTTATTAGATATATCATACAGTGAGTGAACATTATTGTTTACCAGATGACAAAGTTTCGAAAACAATTTATTCTTGTTCATGATCATATCAATTGTAATAACAGCAACAACAACTTAGAAACTTTCGTTTTATAGTTTTCTTTATTCTTCCCTATTCGTCGTAGGGGTGGCAGAATTTTCCAGATGTCTGGTACATTCATCTAATTATCCTTTAGGCAGTGAATCATTTAAACGCCTCATTGTCCAACTACTTACATAATCTCCGATTTACGTTACTTCTGTCTTCTATCAGTAACTCATTGTCAATATGATACAAGCTTTTGGTTTTTGTAGTTCATGTATATATATATATATATATTTATATATATATATATATGTATATATATACACATATATATTCTATCCGTGATAATGATGTCGGGATATAGAATAAAACTCCAAAGGCTATGTTAATTCTAAATAATTAATTTGTAGGAACTTTACTAGTTTCCAGTTTGATCACAGACTGATGTCAGTTAGGGAAGTACTGAAAGCCTGGGAGTACTAGACAGATGTTTCTTCCTAATTCCGGACTCTTCAGAAGTACTCACCTGAGACCCTACCAAAGGAGTGCCCCCAAAACCTTCAGGATTCGAGGCCAAGTTAGTTGACCATTCATTCACCTGGACGGGAGTTCAGTCAACCGTGAATTCTTCTATCGCAAATTGACAGAAGAACGAATTCACTGGAGACAGTGGATGATCGCCTAAGTTGCTGAACAGTCAACGAGATCCACCTTGTTACCTGGAGGTTCTAGGCCCACTCCCTGGTGTGGGCATGGGTATGCAGTGCTGAAAAGTCTCGAACTAGGATGAAACAGTGTCAATTCGTCGTCCTGTATTTATTTATCAAGTGTGATGGAATTAAACTTTTTGGGCATTTTTACTCCATTCTTCCTGAACTAGGTTGGTAAGTATTTCAGAATCATACCACCCTATAACACCTATGAACAACAGGAACAGATAAAACAGTATATGCCTTAGTCAAAAAAACAAAAACAAATTAGGGGTTGTAAGAATTCTGATTGGTCAATTCTAAAAATCCGCTCACACCCAGTGAGCCAATCTCATTATCTGTATATACATTCCTAGGCTTTTTCCACCACCACATAGAAAACTGAATACTTTTACCTTGCATGTTTTAAAACAATAACCTTATCTTAAGGGTTCATTCTTTTTTGTTGTTGACTAACATACACGCTTGTTTATTGTTTATTGCGTATGTGTACATATATGTATATACCTTTCAGTGTGCCTATTTGTGTGTGTGTGTTCTGTTAACATTCAAATATTTCTCTTCTCTGCCCCACCTGCCTAACCGACCCATATACGATAGAGAGAGAGAGAAAAAAAATGTAGGGTGGGGGTAAGGTAATGACAGACAAAACAACAAAAAAAAAACATTATTTTACCAGGCTGTTGATTGATTCTAGCATAAGCCAATAAAAAATTAGTTTCGCAATTTTTGAACCAAAAATTAACAAATGGCAAGGAGTCACTCTACTGGATGGAGGGAGGGGAGTTCATGTTTTAAAAAAGAAAGCGAATAAGTTTGCTTGTTTGTTTGATAAGAGTATACACTGTACACTTTTCTAATTTCGCTCTGAGTGTGTATACAAAAGAGGATTGTTATAAAACTGTTCGGACTTTTCTTTCATAATGTATATACTTTACTCTCAGTGAATTATTAAAATAATTACCAGTACTACTTCTATTGCATCTATCACAAATTGTATTAGTACTATGATGAATTAATCCTATTATCATTACAATTATTATTAAACCAATAAACAATCCATGTTAGAAACAATGACAGAACTCACAAGGTAAGTAAGATGAAATCATTTCTCTGGTTTTAATATTATTAATACACACTTATGTATTTAGTCAAACTTACTATGAGTACCCCGTTGATATTTTTATATTGCACTGAAATCTCCAGTCTCTGTTGTCATGCCACCTCCTAGTACGTGCACTTAGATGATATCCTGATTAATATTAGTTAACGGTAGGATGCGAAAGACATGTATTCCGTCGTGGTTGGAACTCATCGGCTACATGTGTCTATGTTACACTGTGGAATAGAATTAATCAGCGTAACTTTTATTCCTTTACTTTCCTGGATGAGCGTACGGCTTCACTCTTCGAGCTTTGAAGTTTCAGGAGCAGTGGTGATTATTTCTTAGGGGTGGAGTTGCTAACCTGACACCCTACTTTCCCTTCTTACTGGGATAATCACCTACTAAGTCAGGTGGCGATTCAAGTCTGAACCAAATGGGTGGTTGGTAATTGTCCTACCTCTGAATCACTGACACATTAACACGGTTTAGTAGCCGAATTATTGACGCTTTGAAATCTGAAACGAATGATGTCAAATTATTATTATTATCATTATTATTATTATTATGGTGGATACCTTATCATTCATATATATATATATATATACATATATTGTGTAAATGAAATATACATGAACGATTATAAATTATTAGCTGGACGTTTATGGTGATAAATTAAACAAGTAGTTAATCTGTGCGGTTGTAGAACTCTTTTAGCTTTCATTTGTATTACTGACTGACTGACTGAATTTCAGCATAGAGCTTTGTACATAAGTATGGTAGAAAGAATAGTAACGGATAATCATAAGGACTTAATGCATCCCAGGTATTACAAAGTATGAATGTATCTGAGCCACTGAGAACGATTTTGAGTCATATCACCAACAGTATCAAGTCACTGGTCTTAGCATCTTTAAGACCTTAACCAGCCATTTTGCTGGCTCACACCTACAGTCAGAGGCTTTATAGATTGATGCTACGTTTTCATTTGACCACCCCTCGGTTTCTTCCATCCCAATCCTGTGTCAAGTAATGTTACTCAACACGGAAGGCAGACACGGCATACATAACACTTGTTGTCCTAGCGCTTTACAACCCCCCACTCCCTGCCCAAAACTCAGCGCCTAACCTCAATATTATTATTAGTCACCAAGTTATACCACTTAACACAGGAGAATGTAGATGTCTGTACTCGAAGATAGCTGACCTTTTCATTTGTTTCACTTTCAGTGGCCATTTCTGACATTCTCTGGAGAAGGCCTGAAAGAAGTGCTGCTCAGAAATACACGTGTCCTTTCATTCGGATAAAAAAAACCAACAACTTGAATCTAAACAATCCAATAGTCTTTTTAGTATTATGGCATCAGTTAGGCGTATTCATTGATTTCATATTAAAATGTATTTCTTACGAATGTAAAATTAACTCTGACAATTGTGGGGTATTTTACTAGAACTTGTACGGAAGTGTTCATATTTGTATTAGTTAGTTTTGTATTTCCCGTTAATTAATTACACTGGGCTGAAATGTTATGTCTCTTTTGAGGTGCTGACATTTAATAGAATCAGGGCTGGTTGGGTTCGATTCTTTTTGTCAGAACTGTCACTCACTCACTCACTCACTCACCAGAGACTGCTGACAAATCCAGTTGACTGATCAGTCCTTCAAAATAGGACGAAATGCACATCCTGAACTCCACTGGTGGTCACCATCCACTAAATAAAGTCATATTCGTGGACAAAATCAAATGAATTATTGAAAACCGTGTAGTATTATACTTTTTCGTCAAATTTTAAAAACTTTCCATGGGAGTAGACATTTATAAACTTCACAGTGAGGGGAGCCTATGACCTTCTAATCACAAGGTTAATATAAAAAGGAAGTGCTGGGCACTGACTAGAAGCTTCATTTCATATTGTCTATGCAAAATAACTGACGTCAATACCATCATAGAATAATTTTATTTGACAAAAACACATCTGCACACAGTGACGGAGTATTATTTTATTTACTGATGACGACAATTCGATAACCATTTTGTTGTCAAGCATAGTTAGATCAGGATACTCTCTGACATCACTTTTAAAATTTGTTTATATAATTCCATTATTACATTAAGTTTTGATTTTATTGTTAATACAATTTTTCCTTTATCGCTGGCATCGGCATCGCGTTATTCCTAAGTGCACGGGTTAGGCATATAGTTTTAATGAGTACAGATTCAGTTATCAATCTGTCTCTACTTTTCTTATATCAGATCAGGTAACTACATGACAGAATTATACTGTAACACAGTACAGGTCCGTGGTGTAAGAATGTTAATTATTTAAGCTTAGGAGAGGGGAGACATCAAAATTGCCCTTACCAATAGTCATATTTCAATCGTGTGTCTAGTGTGTCGGTGGTACAGAGGTAGAATGCTCGCCAACAACGCATGTGGTCCGGGGTTCGATCCCCGGCCACCGACGCACTCCTTTACCTCTTTAAGCCAGTAGTAGGACTGGTTAAGAGGGAAATATGGGCACGAGGCTAGCAACCCCATACCGTAAAAAAAAAACACCACTGCTAAAGAAACTTCAAGCCTCTAGTTTGAAGCCCTATGTTCCACTGGGAGACGTAGAGGAATAAAAAAATCCAGTGTCTAAATCAATCCTTTATATCTAATAAGGACTTCGTAATAAATCGGAATCATGTAGAGGAAATCACTGGAAACTATGCAGTATTAGACACTTGTTGCGTCAGCTTCCATGAGTGAGTTAGTTTATAGAGTTTTGATATATATCAAGTGTGATCACGGATTGCTTGGAGTTTCGATGGTGAGAAGTCGTGACCAGCGGGGTCCTCCCAGTCGCAAGTAAAGACAAATACTAGTGCTGGTCACGCTAAGATCACGATACGATAGAAGTTAGAATTCACAGGCTGGATTCGAACCCCGGTGGGTGTTTGTGCTGCTGGAGAGTCTCGAACTAGGAAGAAACACCTGTCCAGTACTCCTTGGTTTTCAGTGGTTTTTTAACACACATCAATCCATGATTAAACTTGAAACGTTTGTTTCGCTCCTGTTTAAAGCTGTTCACAACAGTACGCATCTATCGTGTGGAGGTCAACCCCAAGGCCTTTAGATTACAAGGCAAATCATATAACAAATCAGTCAGTGGGTCTGAATTCAATAGCCTATCAACTATATGCAATTCTAGCTCACTGATGACGTGCATTTATTATTATTATTATATTTTTTCTTACTCTCAACTCTTATTCACTAAATCACTACAGGGGGTTACATTTTCGGTAATACAATCTATTAACATATGTATATTTGTTTCTAGGCTCTCAAGTTTTAGTCCAATATACCCTGTGATAGCAATAACAAGACCAACGGGAATAACGGTAGTCGTGTTGATGGTAGTGAATTCCAATAGACATATTAAAGTCTATCTTTTATACATATATATATATATATATTCGCATAACCTAAAACTACTCCTGATATATGTGTATATATTCTTTTATCCTACTGTGAGATCACAACACAAGTTCAATATAATAACAAGAAAAACTGACGAAATAACCAGTCTACTCTTAGTAGATGAGGGAATAAACTGTTAAGGATTTCTACTCAAAAAATCAAAAAGAAAGTGAGACTGTTGTCTTTGTAACCATCTTTACAAAAAAAAAAAAAAAACGATGGGTGGTTAAGGGGAAAAGAAAGGAAAGAATGGGATTTAACAGTGCACATTACTAATACAATTACTATTAGGTCATTGGGTTCCTAGTGGAACATTGGGTTCCAACCAGAATATATATATATATATACACTGTTCTCCATGAATGCCCGTAACCTTTTATTTCCTGCCTGCCATTTACATGATCTTCTCCATGTCACTGTCGGACCCACTCCCAACCAGCAGCTTTCCATTCGGGTTCAACTTAAGTGCTTGGTGTATGATATGATCCACTGGTGTTATCAGCGTGTACCCAGCCCATCTCCATTTCCTTATGCCTGCCAGAGTTTTTGTTGGTCATCCTTTTTCGTCAGCATAGAGACAACGAAGGCAGTTGTTGATGAAAGTCTGCAGCCGCTTGCAGAGAATGTCTTCTGTGAGGCGGCTGCCAATTCTCTGAAGCATGTAGGACCAGCGACTTGACATAAGTATCAGAAATTCCAATTAAAAAGCGAATTTTTATGTTAAGTGAAGCAGATTTCCAAAATGATTTCATGTTGGGGAATGTCTGTCTTGCTTTTCTGATCTTCGGTGGCTTTGACGTCCTTATCCGTGCCGCCATCTGTAGTTGAAACAATACTGCAAGTAGGTGTAAGTAGAAAAGACATCTTCACTAGTTTACTCTCCAGTCCTAAGCCTGGAAAAAGAAGGAAAATTGGGCATGGAGTCAGACCCCAGAAAACCAGTCCAATCCTTATCGAAACTTGAAAGCGCAGGAGAAAATAGAAACAAAGTATTGAATACATATATATATATATATATGCGGGTGTAGGTGCACCAATTCTATTTCTAACTATCCCCAAACAAGTAAAGTAGGGATACATTTTGTTGGAACTTTTTGGGAAAGTCTCGAATTAGCACGCTATGTACTAATGAAGTAATTAATGAATGACTTAAGGTGAAATTGAATCATAGTTGAAGGAAGTATTCCAATCATTGGTCACTGAATTACTAATCCAGCGCTCTACCAGCAGAGGAGGAGGTGTGGCTCTTTGGCTTAAGCACTAGACTTTCATTCAGTGGCTCTAGGGATCAAATCTTGCTCCATCTACTTTAGCCTGAATGCAAATCAAAGGTATCATTAACCTTAACACATTAAGTATGACTCATAGCCCAGTGCCGGATAAGTGAGTTTGAATTAACTAACTACCAACGAGACTCAACTGATAATATCTTCATTTTAAGGAAGTGATCACGGTTAGTACTCAGCTGTCATTGGAATAAATGCATGAATACTACTCATTTGTCTGTTTATCATCATATAAACACCAGCTGCTCAGGTAAATCTCTCTTTATTGTTAACTATATGAAGACAGCAATCATAAGAATCTGGGTGGGATGAAAGGGATCCAACTACTGTTATTCTACTTAATCCTGTTAACTGCGGTGAGAACCCTAGTTTTCTATTATCTCTTGGATTCTTCTCAACTGTGTGATCATCTTGACGACTACCGAAATAACTGACTACAGTTCACAATTTGTTGTTGAGGTAAATTTTACGGTAAACGTTAAAACGCCTTAATGGAGGTGGGGTTTGGACCCACGTCCTTTCAGACTGGTGCCTTCAGCAAGCGCCTTAGACCTCTCGGCCACTCCACCCACTCGTTCAAATTAAACTAGTCAATAGTGAATAAATATAGCATGCAACACGATATGACTTCCAGTTTACCACAAGTCAACCTCCTTATCTAAGACAATGTAGAAACTAGGATATTCATTTTGCAAGAGTATTCGCACTAAACACACGAAAATAGATGATTAATAATGCGAGCCACACGCCTTGCTCACTGCAGAAAGTTCGCCAGTGTTGGCCAAATAAGTCCCTTGATTCTATGTCCACTCTTTCTTTCTTCGCTCTCCCGTATGTTTCCACTTTTTTCCATTCTTTGTTTGCATCTTGAGTGGAATACAGAGCTTCAAACTTGAGCTATGAACCTAAAGTAGCGATTAAATCGTTTTCTTCTGAGGTTTCCACCCCCAGGGCTTTCCAAACTCTCTAAGCACACTACCTACTGGCTAGTAAGCCAGGCGTAGTTTTAGGCATGCGTCGATCGGGAGTCGAAAAAAGACCTCCCAAGTGGCGGCTAACAAGCCTTCTACCACTGGACTACAGCCACGTGACATACATGTATTGTATGTTCATGCAAAGTTTTATCTTCCGTATTATTATTATTATTATTATTACTGCTATCACTACTATTATTTTTTATAGGTTCCTAAATAATTTTTCCATAATTATTGTCATCCTCTTCTTTTTTTAAAAAGCAAATATTTCTTCTTTACCTGACTAGATAGGGAAAGTTAATTGGTGACTTCCGAATGCACATTTCAGTTTTCAACCTCATTTAAACAAAATAATGATACTACGAATATTAGCCAGAATAGTAATAGTATATATATAATGATATTTACTTTTTAATTATTATTAAATTTTATTTGTTTAATTATTTTTGTTTGTAATATGAGCAGATAAACTTTATTTTTTCGTCGTTTTTTTTGGTGGAAATATAATTGACATACTTCCGGATAAATTTTCATATAATATATACTAATTACTTATAAAGAATCTATAAGCATATCTCTTCATAAAAACCTTTTTGGTACAACAGAAGAAGGAAAAGAAGAAGAGGAGGCAAAAAAGGAGCTTTAATTCATGGCTCCGCCTAATCTACAATAATATTTGCCGAAGATGCACGAGATTACATACTGCCGACTGACCGATACCATTGGCATCAAACAGTAGTGTTTGCTTGCTCACCAGATCGAGATAACAGTTTTAGGACGGGTTCATCAGTGACGTGTATGGAGTTTGACTCAGTTCTAATAGAACGGAATCAGACCATCTGAATTCTGGACAAATTGGTAACGGATTAAATCAAATCCGAAATTTGTAAACTGTACACAGCTCGAGGTGAAAATTCACCACAGTTTCCCTTGGAAACGGAAAATACTTTGATAATGTCCGGTCGTATTCTTGATTACCGTTTATAGTGTATATCAAACAGATTATATATCGCGTGAGATCTAGATAATTCGACTGCCAAAAGAAACTAGAGGTGAAATTTCACCACCAGCTGTGTAAAGTGCAAATTAGGAATTCCGATTTAAGATTAACCTCGTGTGAATATTAATGTATGTAAGTAATTTTAATCACAATCGGTCCCTGGTTGGTTTGCTCATTGCCAGAGATCTCTGTTGCTGATCTTCTCTGGCCATCTGATCTTGAGTATTGAGCGAAGACAACCGTTAATGAAGGTCTGTAGTTTGTTTGAGACGCTCTTTATGACGCGCTGGCCAAGTCTCTGATTCGTAGAGTGAGTAGTACTGACTTCACATTGGAGTTGAAAATCCGGATCTTATTTTTCATGCTGAACAGTGCTGTTGACCTCCACACAGACTTGAGAGTAGTGAAAGCTTGTCTTGCTTTGATATCCTCGTCAGTTCCGCCTGTAGTTGAGATGATGCTTCCCAGGAAGGTAAAAGAGGTTGTTTCTTTCAGGTTCCTCCCATTCATGCTGGCTGATCGTTGTCTGTTGTTGTTGTTGCTGGTGGTGGTGTTGCCCAGGAATCTTCATCACCTCTGTTTTCTCTATGTTCACCTGAAGTCCTATCTTCTCTGGATACTCCTTCTGCCAACTTGTTGCTTTTCGCTTGCATATCTGCCAGTTTGTGGGAAATCAGACATATATCGTCGGCGAAGTCCAGATCCTCCAAGTTTTTTGTGTGAGTCCATTTAGTGCCTGTTTCCTCATTGTTCGCTGTTTGTCGCATTATCAGGAAAATCATTGGCAATAGTAGGCAGCCTTTTCTTACTCCTGTTCTCACTTCGAAGGATGTCAAATAGTACAGGGGAATCGACTTCTCACAGAATGTAAATCTAAGTCAAATGAACACTTTTAAACATAAAACTGAAATTCATGGTGACCACTGAATTAATATTTACCAAAGAAATATTATAACTTGTCAGAATAGATTTCATCATTAACTAACACACTAATTAAACAGAACCAATAAAAGCCAAGTAGCCTGTTTCACCTTAACTTTGAACTATTCGGTACGATGTACCAATGACACCATCATGGAGTGAAGCTAGAACCTTCAGGTGAAGTGAACTCACTTTATTGTAAACTATTTTTTGTCAGTAACGATCAGTATACACATCTCTGTCAACATATGTAGTATGCATGAGTATTGCATTATCGCTAGACGAGAAATAATTTCAGTTTTTTATATATATATATGTTTCCTGCTTTAACAGACCAGAAATTTCCGGAGCTACAAATATGTACTTAGGATGTAACAAAGACACTCAGTTTCATTCATCTTGGAGAGTACCGCAGCAAATGAGTCATATTAGTAATAATAATAATAATACTGCCAGTAATAGTAATCACCTGTCATATTCCATGCACTACAGTCAAGAATCTCAAATGACATGCGACACAGTTGATCATAAAACTTTACATCAAATTACTGGTAATCAGTTATATAATAATAATAATAACTCTGAACAAATGACTCCACAAATCACTACTACAACAACAACTACTACTGCTGTTGCTGCTGCTGCTATGCAGTCGACAGTTACACAAAGCGAAATATTACCAGTGCCTACTCTCAGCAATATAAATTTATCTTATGAAGCGAATGATTCAGTGCATAATAATCACTCCTGCTCCTCCTCGAAACCATCGTATACAATAAACGGAATACAAGGAATTGTAGAGACATGTAAAAGTCAGGATGTTGTCAAATCAGATGCTGCATCTCCACAATTCCCAAAATATGATTATTCCAAAGATGATGAAAATAATTCCGGGAATGGTATTAGCAATCGGATGAATGGTGAAATCAGCATGACAAGGTCAACTCCTGATTCACATTTGACAAATAATATCCAACAAAATATGAGGTAATTTATTCATCATATTTATTGGAGTGTATTTTTTTTAACGAAGTGTTTTAAAACATTTTCAAATTACTAATATTTATTCTTTTGTGACTAGTCATTCAGCCTAAAAAGAGCCTCAGTCCAATTTCTCAAGCCTCTTTTTGGTTTGGTGATGGTTTGATAGTAGGATACTGGCTAGCCACCACTTGGGAGGTGTCCATTCGATTTCTTGCCGCCGTCGTACTTCAAAATGTTGCCGCCTAACAGCTAATAGAAGAGGAAATGTTGGGTAAAAAGGAAAATGACACTACCACTTCTGAAACTTCAGAAAGATTGAAGGACTATCCATAAATAATTTGATCAGCCTTTTATGTGTCGTTCGCAGTTAATGTGTAGCCACTGATTAAAGACAATATACGATCTGCCAGATGTTGCCATAACTGACAGCCAATGCTAGTGTATAATAATATCAGGTGTTAAATTAGACCAAAAAATTGACACATTAGCAAGAAAACCACTGAAAACCAGGGACACCTGTTTCTACGGTCTCCGTCTTTGGGACTCTTCAGACAATCCCACCTATTGGGGTTCGGATCTACAGTAATCAGATAGCTAGATAAGCTCATATTATTATTATTGTTCCCTTAGGTTCCTGGTGGAACATAGGGCTTCAACTGCACGTCTCCACTTGCTTCTGTCTTCTGCTGTACTTTTCACCTGCATCCATGTTATTCTATACTGTTTCAACTCCCCTTCACACGATCTCCTCCATGTCACCCTTGGACGAGTGGGACACTGGCCGCTTCCCTTTCGGGTTCCACTAGAGCGATGGCCTGACGCGCGATGTCACTCAATGGCCTCCTCAGCGAGTGTCCAGTCCATCTCCACTTCCTCCTGCATATTTGTTGGGTGATTGGTCCTTGTTTTGTTTGTTCCCATAGTTTCTTGTTGGTTCTTGTTCTTTCCGGCCATCTGATCTGTATAGAGCGAAGACAGCTGTTGATAAGGGTCTGCAACAGGCTGTTGGAAATATTCTTTGTGACCCGCCAAGTTTCTGATCCGTATAGAAGAACTGACTGACTTGACGTTTGTATTGAAAATCCGAATTTTGTTGTTGATGCTGAGTTGAGTGACGAAGATTTCCAGATTGGTTTCAAGTTGATGAATGTGTTTCTCGCCTTCCCGATTCTCGATTTGACATCCTTGTGCGTTCCACTGTAGTTGAGGCAATGCTCCCTAGCTGGATAAGTGAATGAATTAACCTCTTTCAAATCCCTTCCGTTGATGGTGATTGGCGCTGGATGTTGCTATTGTTGTTGTTGTTGGCTGGTTATTTTCATAACCTCCGTCTTGTCTATGTTCACCTGGAGTCGTGTCTTTGCTGCTTCTTCGACCAGTTTGTCGGTTTTCGCTTGTAAGTCTTCGATTTTGCGTGACATCAAACATAAATCATCCACGCGCGAAATCCAGGTCTTCTAGATTCTTCATGTCGGTCCAGGATATCCCTGTCTTCTCGCTTCCCACTGTCTGGCGCATAATCCAGTCCACCACAATTAGGAATATCATTGGTGATAATAAGCACCCTTGTCTGACTCCTGTATTGGGCTCATATGACCTGGTTTAATTTGAAACCGATCAAATCCCTGAAAACGAATACTTCAGAATGTCAGGCTTTTAAATCATCTCAATGTGACTAGCATGCACTAATACTAGACATGAACGGTTTCCAACTACTACTTTCAATTAATCAGTAGTATACAGACTACTTACCATCAGGTGATTTGTTTATGTCAACTTACAAAACTGCGAAAAATTTGGTATAAGAGGAAGAAGAAGTAAGAAAGAGACTATTTCGCGGTAAAATGGAATCACTTTTCTTATCGAAGAAAATTTAAAACTATTGCACAATAATAGAAATATTAATTGAAGCTTTATTTCCAAACAGTATATATGACACAAGGCAGGAATCTCAGTATGTTTAATTCAGAAGCTGGGCTATGATTTTCAAGTAGACTCTTTACTTCTATTCATCATTCCATCTCAGCTTCACCGATGTATTAGGATAAGTTGCCGCCCACGAATTTCCTTTTCTTAAATTTAGTAGGAACTTGCAAATCATCAGATTGTAGATATTTTAAATACTCGCGACAGAAGGAAATACCATTAAGGGTCATATTTTAATCGATTAAAACAAAGTAAACAAAAGAAATTATAAACAGTCTATTGATGGAGTTTTATGATAACCCAAGTTTTAAACAGGCTACCGTTCATACTTCAAGAATCCTTTCAGTAATGGAGTGCTAGACAACTATCTCGCGCATCCATCTTTGTGATGGTGTGAAGGTTCCCTGAAGTTCTGGGTTCGATACCCAGCGACGGGGTCATAGGTGAGAGTCCCAAAGAAGGAGGACAAAGCATGCGTCCAGTGCTCTCTTAGTACTTTAAAGTGCTTTTTGTTCTCTAACAGATGTCAGTCGGTTAGCTATCTAATTTGAAGATGTTTATTAATTAAACTATCTATATATTTTTTCGTTTGTTTGTTTTTCAAAAGAAAAAAGGAAACTATCCATCCCCCGATTTGTATTTATTTTTGTTTTTTCTCTCTCATTTTTTGTTGTTGTTGTTGCTGGCATCTTGTGGTCATTGAAATAATTAAGATAAATGTTGAATAATCTTTCTCTAGAGATTTGACAATATTGAGAGAGGGAAAGATAGAGGGATAAGGGAAAGTTGTGTCGTATACTCACTCACATTTCCGTAGTGTGTTTTGTAGGAATTGTTTGAGCTGCGTGTGGATGTGTGTATGTGTAGCGGAGGTGGGGGTTGATATCTACACTCCTCTATAAACAGACTAAAGTTTAACGAGTGTCAAATCTGCAAAAATGAGAACTATAATGACTGACTACGTACGACAGGAGTCTTCTGAGGTTTAGGGAAACATTTTCACTTACACGTGTGCGTTCATATGCATTAGAGTGTATCTTCTTTGTCCTCATGTATTACATAAGCCGAAAAAAGACACTTTCTAATTTATATTGAAATTATATACATATATATATCCTCTCCCAACCACACGCGAATACACGCAAGCTCACAGAATCCAAGTCTGTTTCTTTGGCTTACAGAAAGAAAGACAAAAAACGCCATACACGGATCACTGAACTTCTTATATCTGTCATAATTCTGTTGTGTGTTTTTTAAGAGGGAAAGGGTGTGTGTTTATATGTGTTTATCAGTGAGTAAAAAGGAGAGAAGGAAAAAAGTTAAATAAAAATACGCATAGAGAAAATAAAAACAGGATTTTCCTGTTTTCTATTTCTTTTTCGACATCTTTCCTGTGGTCACTCAACTCATAAAATGACTTAAAAAATATATATTATATTTAGCATTATGATTAATGAGGATTGTTATTTTTTGTGGCTAAGATATACTTCCCTGTCTCTCTCTCCCTTTTCCCCTCCACTTTTTTACCCTTTGTTTACCCAATCTTTTTACCCAGTCTTGACTGAATAAAGCTTGTACAGAAATGATGAAGAAAATGAAATAAATTTGTTTTCATTGTTCTCGTTCTCTGAAGTTCATTAACATTTTTCCTTTTGTAAAAAATATACTAAGGAGTTTTTAATAAAGTAAAGGTAGTAAGTTCGATTTCCACTGGGTGGTGTCGATGTTGTGTGCGCATGCTGATGAGGCCCAAATTAAGACGAAAAAGAGAACTGTTCACTGCTTCCTGGTGCGTTTTTCGCTTGTTGTTTCTCCAACTGATGTATCAGTTAGTGATCTAAACAACATGAAATCAATCAGATCCGGGTGTAAATTGACACTTGGAGATGACTGACTTCCAGATGAGTTTGCTGGGTTATATTGTGAAGAGTAGTAACAAACGGGATTCACCAAGTTTGGTACAAGGACAGGTTCCAACCGATGATACTGGCCGGAGTGGAGGTATACATATATCACGAACATGTGCGTCGGTGGCATAGAGGTTAGGACGTTCGCCGACCATGCAAATGGTCTGGGGTTCGATCCCCGGCCAACGCACTCCTCCCTTACCTCGCTAAGCCAGAAATAATGCTGGTGAAGAGGAAAGGTTTGGCATGAGGCTATCAACCCCATCCTGTAAAATAAACACCACTGATACCGAAACTTCAAGCCATTAGCTTGAAGCCCTATGTTCCACTGGGAACGTGAAGGAAAAAATAATAAGAAGTTATAATTCATCGGCTAGCTGTTGGATTCCGCCACGTTGGCTGAATGAATGGTCAGCGGACTTGTATCGTAGCCTGTAGGTCCTTAATTCGACTGATCACTGAAGTAACGCGAAATCAATCAAATCCCTATAAACCAGCACTTGAAAATTGAATTTATTGGAAAAGTCATCTTTTGTACTACGAAACTAGTAAAAATGATCTCTTATCTCAGTGTGGTAGTTGAAATTACACCTTTTTTTGTGAATTATTGTCAATAACATTAAACTCACGCTTGTATATTTCTACTGATTCTATCAATAATTTTTCAGTTAAAGACAAATGCGCGATGATAGCTTAGTCTCTATAGCATTTTCAACTACTGGTCTGCAGGAATTTCATTGATCTCAAGTTTGACCACGAACTGATACATCATTTAGAAAAACACTGGAAATCACCAGAGGGGACTAGATGTGTTTTGTCTTACTTCTTTGAGACTTTTGAACAGAACTCAACTATGATCCGACTCCACAACCATCAGGTTAAGCAGCCAGCCAGTGGCTAGTCCGCGAATTCTAACTTCTGACAATTAGCGATACATATGGCTGGCGTTACCGTCAGTAAATGTTCTCACACCAGACAGCTTGGTGAATCCCATTGGTGACGACTTTTCGCTAGAACTTCAGAGAACTTTATCCTGTTGTGGGCGACTAGCGCCCATTATATATTTCTTGATAGGTATACTTTTCTTTCCTATTAACTAATGATAATACCATTAGTAATAATAGTAACAATAGTGGAAGCTATTCATCATACGGAGAATAGATTTCTTTT